AGGAAATTATTTTTTAAAATATAGGCATACTGGAGCTGGGGCTGTGACTAGTGGCAGAGCACATGCCTAGCATGTGTGAAGCATGGGGTTCAATCCTCAGCACCACATAAAAATAAATGAAATAAAATGATTGTTTTTAAAAAATACAGGCATACCTTATTTTACTGCACTTCATAGATACTGCATTTTTACAAATTGAAGTTTTTGTGGCAACCCTGCCCAAGCAAAACAATTAGTGTCATTTTTCAACAGCATGTGCTTGTTTCCAGTCTCTGTCACATTGTGGTCATTCTCACAATACTTCAAACTTTCTCATTACTATTAAATATGTTATGGTGATCTGCAATTAGTGATCTTTGATGTTACTATTTGTAATTGTTTGGGGGGGCTTATGAACCTAGCCCATGGGAGATGGAGAACTTAATCTATAAATGTGCATGCTCTTACTGCTATATCACCTTCTTCCCTCCCTGGGGCCTATTTCCTGAAACACAACAATACTGAAGTTAGGCCCATTAATAATCCTACAATGGCTTCTTAAGTGTTCAAGTGAAAGGAAGATTAGCATGTATTTCATTCTAAATAAAGAGTTACAAATTATTAAGCTCAGTGAAGAAGGCATGTCAAAAGCCACCACTGGTCAAAAGCTGGGCCTCTTTCCCAAAGTTTAGCCAAGTTGTGAGTGCAAAGGAAAAGTTCTTGAAGGAAATAAAAAAAAAAAAAAAACTCCAGTGAATAAGAAGGGGAAATGGCCTTATTGCTAATATGGAGAAAGTTTTAGTGACCTGGTTAGAATATCAAACTAGCTACAACATTTTCTTAAACCCAAACCAAATAAAAAGCAATACCCTCACTCTTTTTATTCTGTGAAGGTGGAGTGTGGGGGAGGAAGCTACAAAAGAAACATTTAAAGCTAGAGGAGGTTGCTTCATGAGGTTTAAGAAAAGTAGCCACCTTCATAACATAAAAGTGCAAGGTGAAGCAGCCAGTGATGATGGAGAAGAATCCAGAAGTTATAGCTAAGGTCATTGATGACTACAGCTGCACTACATAACAAGTTTCAGCCCAGGGGGTGGAGTACCCCTGTGATCCCAGCTACTGAGTCCATTGAGTCAGGAGAATCACAAGTTTGAGGCCAGTCTCAGCAAATTAGCAAGACCCTATGTAGAAACAAAAAAACTAATAAACAGAAGAATATAATTTCAATGAAGATGAAACAGCTTTACATTGGAAGACAATGCTATTTAGAACTTTCATAGCTAGAAAGAAGCTAATGCTATCTCTTATTAGGGGTGATTTTAAGCTGATGACTTTTAGCCAAAGCCAATGCTCATTTACCATTCCAAAATTCCTAGGGCTCTTAAGGTTCAAGGCTTCAGTGGAGGAATAATTGGAGATGTGGTAAAAACACCAAGAGAACTAGAATTCAAAGTGGAGCCTGAAGGGACTGAATTGCTGCAACGTTATGATTATATTTTAGTGGATAAGGAATTGGTTCTTATGAATGAGCAAAGAAATTGGTTTCTTGAGATAGAATCTACTTCTAGTAAAGATGCTATGAACATTGTTGAAATAAGAACAAATGATTTAGGATATTACTTAGTTGAAAATGCAATGGCAGGGTTTACTCAAATTTTGAAAGAAGTTCTATTATGGGTAGCAAACTTTCCAATACCTTCACATGCTAACAAGAGATCTTTCATGAAAAAAAGAGTCAATCACTGCTAAAAACTTCATCACTGTCTAATATTTTTTTCTTTTTGGTGCTGGAGATTGAACCCAGGGACTTGTGCATGCAAGGCAAGCACTCTACCAACTGAGCTATATCCCGAGCCCCATCATTGTCTAATTTTAAGAAATTGCCATAGCCACCCTAGCTTTCAGCAAGTACCGGCCTGATCAGTCAGCAGTCATCAACACTAAGGCAAGATCCAGCAACAAGGTTATGACTCCCTGAAAGATCAGATGATCATTAGTACTTTTAGCAACGAAGTATTTTTATTCAAGGTATACACATTTTTAGACATAATGCTATTGGGCACTTAACAGACTACAATATAACACATAACTTCTATATGCCCTGGGAAACCAAAACATTCATATGATTTGCTTTCTTGTGCTATTCACTTAATTTTAGTTAAATCTGGAAGCCAATCTGCAATATCTCTGAGGCATGTCTTTGATAACATGTTTTGTTCTGTAGAAGTCAATGTATTTTTCTTTCTCAGCATACTTAATAATTATCTATTGTAGCAAAAAAAAAAGTTCTGACCATTAAAAGACTTGATTTGGAAACCAGTTATCACAAATTTATTATTTCAGCTGAGCTGCATAATGCCTCACTACAATGTAAAATCTGCTAGTTCACTGATGCACAGGAACTTAGAACAATGGTATGCTGTATGGACTCGATATATGTTTACATGAATTACAAATCTTGGTATATAGATACAAGGAAAAGTCCTGGATAGCGGTTTACAAAATGATGCTGTTCACATGGATGCTTAGAAGGGCTCAGAAAGAGAGTTCCAAGCTGAAACATAAGACACTTCCAGCTATGTCATAGCAGGGTTTTGAACTGACAAAACTGTCTATAGCTGTATCCTAATTCTTGTTTCCATAATTTGTATATGTATTCTCTGTTCAATTGCATTTTGTGTTCTATATATATATATATTTTTTTTTCAAATCATTCCTGTTTTGAGAAACCAATGACTACTGAACACTATTTAGTGTAACTGAACACTATTTTGAGCACTGAACACTATTTAGTGTAACTGGTAGAGTTCCTTTAGATAGAATAGCTACAAAGTCCAGAAAATTCTGTTTTGGTTGATTCGTGACTAGAAAAACTTCACTGTAGTAATTCAATGTACAAGGGAAACATTACTGGCCAATGGAATCCAACAAGCCATAAGAGCAGGCATTGGTTCTGGAATCAGAAATGAGTTGAGCTAGGACCCAAAATGCCTCAAGGTCTTGCCTCCTCCACCTTGACTACATTCTTTAAAAAAACAAACAAGCTCCACAAAGACTGCTAATTGCCAGCCAAACAACCTCCAGGTCTCATTAAACCAAATTCCAACTTTGCTTAGCATCCTTAAATCCAGGCATGATCATGTTACAAAGCTACAGCCCAAGAGATAAGAGCTGAAGTCTGTGTTGGGCTTTAAAAAAAAGCTCATTTATTTAGCATGCACTCCTCACCCTTCCTTTTTCATGCTAGAACATGAATAAGATAGCTGGAATTAAACATCCATCTCACAACAAGGATGAAGACCATAAACTACGAACAACAGAGCCAAAAGACAAAAGGAATCTAGTACGTGAATGAAACTGTGAACCGGAACTACCAGCCCTTACTATAGTTGAGAAAAGGGTACTCTTGTACATTGCTGGTGGGACTGCAAATTGGTGCGGCCAATTTGGAAAGCAGTATGGAGATACCTGGGAAAGCTGGGAATGGAACCACCATTTGACCTAGCTATTGCCCTTCTAGGACTATCCCTGAAGACCTTAAAAGAGCGTACCACAGGGATACTGCCACATCGATGTTCATAGCAGCACAATTCACAATAGCTAGACTGAGGAACCAACCTAGATGTCCCTCAATAGATGGATAAAAAAAAAAATGTGGCATTTATACACAATGGAGTACTACGCAGCACTAAAAAATGACAAAATCATGGAATTGGCAGGGAAATGGATGCCACGAGAGCAGATTATGCTAAGTGAAGCTAGCCAATCCCTAAAAAACTAATGCCAAATGTCTTCTTTGATATAATGAGAGCAACTAAGAACAGAACAGGGAGGAAGAGCTGGAGGAAAAGATTAACATTAAACAGAGACATGAGGTGGGAGGAAAAGGGAGAGAAAAAGGAAATTGCATGGAAATGAAAGGAGACCCTCATTGTTATACAAAATTACATATAAGAGGTTGTGAGGGGAATGGGAAAAAAAATTACAGTAGATGGGGTAGAGAGAAAAGATGGGAGGGAAGAGGAGGGGGGATAGCAGAGGATAGGAAAGGTAGCAGAATACAACAGTTACTAATATGGCATTATGTAAAAATGTGGATGTGTAACCGATGTGATTCTGCATTCTGTATACAGGGTAAAAATGGGAGTTCATAACCCACTTGAATCTAATGTATGAAATATGGTAGGTCAAGAGCTTTGTAATACTTTGAACAACCAATAAAAAAAAAAGCTGATAGAATAAGAAGATATGGTTCCTGCTCTCAGAGTTAATAGGAGTATCAAATGTTTAGCAGGATACGGTGGCCTACACCTGCAATTCCAGCCACTTAGGAACCTGAGACAGGTGCACAAGTTTGAGATTGGAGTGGGCAAGTTGTTGAGACCTTGTCTCAAAAAATAACAAGGGCTGGAGATGTAGTGTTGTGGTAGGGCCATCTCTGGATTTAATCCCCAGTACCATACACACACACACATCATGCACACCTGGGATGTGTCAGGCCTATACTGATGAGGAAGACTTAGCAAGGTTACCTACTTAGGGAATTCCAAGGTTTGAAACTAACCAGTTACAATGGTTTCTGGTCTCGTCAATTCTAATTCAAAAGGATGAAAACTCTTGATGGAAATGAGTACAGGGAACACTTGGTGCATGCTGAAACATGGGAGGAGCCCAAGTTTACAGTACAATCTGGGGAGCATCCCCAAGGGTGTGAGAAAAAATAAAGATGGTATGCACCAGAAAGAAGTCTCAGCGGTGACAGCACTGAGACTGCATTTCAAATACAAGATGGAAGAAGAGATAAGGCTCTACAGGTAGGGCAGACAGCCAATTAGAGATCACTGAGAAACTGAATGATGGCACTGAAAACGGTACTAAAAAGAGACTGTACAGGGAGACAGGAGTCTCTAGGTTTTCATATTTGCACACATTGCTATTAACAGTGAACTATCAACACAGCCCAGTCAATATTTAATCAAACTGGTGAGATGACATACTGGAAAGACTTGAGATTTTTTTTACTTCAGACAGGTAAGGTGCTGACATCTTAACAAGATTTGGAGGGAGGCAAATCTCAAAACATACAGTATGAACACCCAATCATCATGCTTATGAACCCAAAAGGATCAAGATTTGAGATTGTAACAATAGTCATTGTTTCCTGCATTTTTCAATACAATTTACAGACTCCTTTCATGGATTCTGGGCTAATCTCTAAAATGTATCAGTAATACTTCTTTCTGAATGCTATGAAGTGAGCAGACATGGGATCTTGCCCTACACCCTTACCTCCAACTCCACCTATGCTTACAATGCAGAATTTTAGGGTGAAGGGCAAGTAGTTAGCCTAAGATTTTTTAAGTCTCTTCAACACTTAAGTTTACCTAATCCTATCAATGTTAACATAGCCCAAAAAGAATATTTTGGCATAAAAAAACTTACTAGAAGTGTTTTATATATTGTTTTACTGATTTAAGCCAGATATATACTAAAGCACTTGTCACATTTTCAAGAGATGAAGGTTATAATCAAGCTGATTTTCTTTTCCACAAGTGTCCTTCACATTACATCATTAAGAAATTTTAAATTACATTAACAAAAGTTAAATTTTTCTTTATAAAATACTGTAGTTTATTTCAAAATATTATCATTGATTACTTTTTTGCTCTTGAGTACTGAATTAGCTCAAATTCCAGTCCAATTTTGCAAGTTCTTCAGTTTTTACAAATGTCTAACCATGTTTATTCCACTCCCCTCAAAAGTATGCAGGCAGAAAATTGGCCACCCAAATCCTTTCAACCTCAGAGGTTTAAGGCTAAAATCTGTAATTGGTTACTTTCAAGATCTGTACCATAAGCATCAATGTTTTGATAGCAAAAACTGACTCAATTTTTCCAAACATATTTTTCTTAATATAAAGCTCTTCCTCGTAGCTTTCCCCCAGACTCAACTAAATCCCAATTTCATTTAGTACTACAAATCTATACCTTGCAGAGGAGACTATAACAAACTTTGACTCCCTATGTTCCTTCAGAAGATAACTTTTGGAAACAAACTACTTTATACTTAATATCATAGATTAACATAGTAAAAGCCAATTCTGAGTATGAGAAAAAAATCCTAAATTTTTTTACAGTCATTCTATTAAAGCCCAAGTCTAAACCATGGAATACATACAATATTATACACACTCTGACATAAAACAAACTTAAGATCCTAGGGTCCAAATATAATTTGATTCTACTATGCCCAGGTTCCAGCAGAAGGGGGAAAAAAGAAAGCAATATGCTTGAAAGTGTTAGGCTTAACTGAAATTAAGACCATTCATTGTATAGTTCTCAGGTGCTAAATGCAAAACTTCACTATAACACCATCAAATGAATGGTGATCTATACAAGCTTAAGGACAAAAGAATCAGTTTTTTGCTTCTTACCTAAGATTTCTAAGTGCTAATCAAAACCTGGATTATTGGTGTAATTTACCCTTAGGTGATAAAAACAAGACAAAGCATGGTAAAGACTGCTTTATTGGTGGCAGTTAGTACAAGTCAATAAATATTGATCCCCAAAGAAGAGCTCTGTTATTTAGAGTACTGGTCCATAGAGAGCTGAATTAAACTGAACCAAATGATTGCTGAGAAGACTGAAGTCAATCCTGCTTCTTGGGAAAAGAAGCCTTGGCCAACTCATATATGGCATAAGCTGTTCCTGAAAAACAAACAAAACAACTTACAAGAAATTCTGAATTTAAATGAATGTAAGCTTCACATTCCAGCTCAAAAATTATATGGCAAAGATGGCATTAAGATTACATTAATGTATTTTGATTGATACTGGCAAAATTTTAAAATAAATATATGTAAAATACATTTCATTAGTTTTAACTTCTATACAAAAATATATTCTTGGGCTGAGGTTGTGGCTCACAGGTAGAGTGCTCACAGCATGTGTGAGGAACTGGGTTCAATCCTCAGCACCACATAAAAATAAAATAAAGAGATTGTGTTCACCTCTAACTAAAAAATAAATATTTAAAAAAAGGTTGGCTAGGGCTGGGGTTGTGACTCAGTGGTGGAGTGCTCATCTAAGCATGCACGAGGCATTAGGTTCGATCCTCGGCACCACATAAGTGTAAAATAAAGATATTGTGTCCACCTAAAACTAAAAACTAAATATTTTTTAAAAAAGGTTGGCTGTTTTAAAAAAAATGTATTCTGGGCTGGGGATGTGGCTCAAGTGGTAGCGCGCTCGCCTGGAATGCGTGCGGCCCGGGTTCACAAAGATGTTGTGTCCACCGAAAACTAAAAAATAAATATTAAAATTCTCTCTCTCTCTCTCTTTAAAAAAAAAATGTATTCTGTCAACTTAATAATAAACGTAAACTGTTTTAAGAATGAGATTAAGAATATACATAAAGGATATTTCCATATTAACCTAACATTGCCTGAGAAATGCTAAAAATTATTCAAAAGACAAAAAAAAGGAAGGTGTCTGTCAATATGCATGTATTCCCTGAAGTGTGTTATCAACATAAAACCAAAGATGAATAATGAGATTTTAAAATAACAAAACAGCTAATATAAGAAGTTATATTTTTTAAAACTTATTACCAGAATGTCTAAGAAATAATTATATTTTGAAAAGAACATAGGACATTATCTTATTAAGAAAATCCAAATGTCACTAACCGGTTTTTGTCTTAATCCATAAATGCCCCACCTACTTTTAAATGTATTCAAGTTAAAAGAAATTACCTTGGCATGAGCATAAGGACTTTGTAATTAGGAGTTCAAATCCCAGCTTTTCCACATAGAAGCAATGTTATCTTGGATGACTAATGTAATTTTCTCATTCTTAAAATAAGGACACATGAAAGACCCCATTCAAGGGTTATAAAAATTCAAGTATGTGACATTCTGATCAAAATGATGAAGACATAGTAACTACAAAAATATTGTTTCTTTCCTTCCCCAAACAGCAGTCATTCAAATTCCTAACTATGCTCCTACTACACCAACTTGAGACATGCCTGCTTATATTAACTACTTTGTATAAGTAAAAATTAAATATTGTTGTATAATATTTTTGTTTTCATCATAAATATGTATGCATGAGTTAAGATGTGTTATTCATCACAGTAAAAATATTCAAAAGCCCTTGCTATAGAACGTAGAATGAATGTTTTTTGGCCAAAAAAACAAGCTCCAGAGCCTCCTGATAACATTACTATTACTTATCTATGAACAATCAAATATTCCAAATATCTTACCACCAACTGTAAGAACCATGGTGGCTCTATACAGCAGGGCATCAGCTACTCCACCCTTTAGATGCACCGGAATTCCATTATCCTCCTAGGTTAAAAGAAAAAAGAGATTAATAAATGTGTCTCTTGTTTTCAACTAAGTTTCAAAAGATTAATCATTCATATAAAATGAAACAACTCCTTAAAACCATGGAATTTAAATATTTAAATATCACAAATCTAAAAGGGCTCCAATTTTGATTATTCTTTACTACTATTTTTAAAATATGAACTCCTTAAAGTTAACTTTCTTATTTTAATCACCATACTTAAATTTAGTTGTAGAAAGTTCTTCTTAAAAGTGGAAGCAAGGATCTCTGATAAATATTATCCAGTATATAGAACTCAAAAAACTTACCACTAAGAAACCAACTCAATTAACAAAGAGGCAAAAGAACTAAACAGACACTTCTCAAAAGAAGAAATACAAATGGCCAACAAATATATAAAAAAATATTCAACATCCCTAAGCAATCAGGGAAATGCAAATCTAATCTACACTGAGATTTTATCTTGCTCCAGTTAGGATGGCAATCATAAAGAACACAAATAACAACAAATGCTGGCAAGGATGTAGGGGAAAAAGTTCACTCATATATTCTTGGGACTATAAATTAGCACAGCCACTTTGGAGAACAGTATGGAGATTTCTCAATGGAATTCTACTCAGCCATAAAGAATGAAATTATGTCATTTGCTGGATGGAAATGGATGGAAGCTAGACTCAGAAATTCAAAGGCTGAATGTTTTCTTTCATATGTGGAAGCTAAACCAAACAAGGAAGGGGAGTGGGGAAGATTCCATGAAAATAGAAGCGAGATCAGTGAAGAAGAGGAAGGGAACTGGCGGGGGATGGGGGTGGGGGGGCTGGAAAAGGGAAGAAGGGCAAAATGAAATCGAGCAAATTAAAGTAGGCTATGTACATATAAGAATATACCTTAGTGAATTTCAACTTCATGTATATCAATAAAGCATCAATTTAAATGGGAGGAAAACCAGTAGTAAATAGGAGAAAAGGGAAAGAGGACGTACTGGGGACTAAAGTGGAGCAAATTTCACGCATTTGTGATTATGTCAAAATGAACCCCAATATTATGTAGAACTATAATATACTAATAAAAACTTTTTTTAATCCTAAAAAAATGAAGGGGACAGGCATGGGATTTTGGTTTATAATCCTAAATTTTATAAGCCGAGTATCTCTTCCAGCTTCTGGCACAGAAGAGATATTCAGTATATCTGTTAAATAAAATATTTTAATTTTATGTGGTATGGTATACATTTTTTATCACTGCTGGGATTACAGGCGTGCACCACTGTGCCCAGCTCAGTTCTTCTACAACTTGAGAATTGGCAACTAGTTCTTTAAATGTTAGGTAAAATTCAATAATGAAACCATTAGGGCCCGAATTTTTCTTTGATGGTGGACTTTTCATTATTGGGTCAATCTCTATACTTATTATTGGTCTGTTTATATTTTCTGCATCTTCCTGGTTCAAATGATAGGCTGTGTATCTGGGAATTTATACATTTCTTTTAGGTTATCCAATCTGTGGTCATGTAATTTTTCAAAGTAGTCTCTTAGGGTCCTTTGCATTTATGTGGTCTTGGTTGTCATGTCTTTTTAAAATTTCTGATTACATTTGTCTTATTTTTCTTCTTAGTTTTTAAAAAAAAGCAATAAAAGTTTGCTTAACAGCTCAATTTTGTTAATCTTTTCTGTTTTCCTAATCTGTTAAATTGTTCTACTCCCCTAGGCCTTTTCCCAAGAGATAGTCACCATTCACAGTATGATATAGATCTCTTTTAATGCTTACATCATT